TGCGTGGTGCAGAGGAACCCTTCTGCCCCTCCCCCGCGTTCTCTCAAGTGACTCGAATGTTCTGTCAGTCTAAGTGCAAAACTATTTTTACCACAGTGTTGGGGAATCTCTGGGCACAAACTGTCTGCAGATTAGGTAAATTACAGGTGCTGGGGTTCATGTTACTCATCGGGCCGCCACAAGTTTAAAGCAATAATCTGCCTCTTCTGAATTTTCCCTTTTGGTCAGCGGACCTTTCCTTCACGCTCTATTCTCTTGGCTCTATTCTCTAGGCCGCTCAGGGGCCTTGCTAGTTGACTCTTCTTCCACAGGCAGGCTGGACCAGGTTCTGTTCATCCTGCGTCTCTCCTTTCCCGCCCCCCTCCCCCCTTTTCTTCTGTCATTTTTTCTCTCTTCTTTCTCTTTTCACGGCTGCTTCTGTCTGGCTCTCAGCCCTCCTTCCTCAGCTATAACTGAAACGGCTTTCTTTGAATCCAGCTATGCAACAATATAGCCAAATTCCTCAGATACGACCCACACAAATCTCTTCACCAGTTTCTGACAAACTGTCACCGGTGACCATTTCTTCCTTGAACTTCCTCCTTCTGTGACCACCATCCCAACCCACAGGTTTGCTAAAAATCTTCAGCATGCTCCCTGGAAATATCAACCCCACATTCAGGGACTTCCATCCCCAAACCATCCTTTCTCAAGCTTCCAGTTCATGATAGACTGGTCATTGAATGCTAGCTTCGAACCACACTCTTTCCTCCAAAGTTCCTAGTTCCGTTACTCATTTGTGTGATTTTTTAAATTAGCATCTGTCCCCCAGGTAACTGGAGATTTGTTGAGGGCATAAATACATGAAACACTGTTACTGGAGTCAGTCGGTTCAATATTTTCACTTCCACTATACCATTAACATCAATCAGTCCTTAAATTCCTCTTAAATATCTGTCTCACAAAATCTAGGTATTTCCATTAATTCACTCCAGCTATTTCAATCAGAGGCCTTATGAACTGAGTAGGGGAAGGGGGGAAAATAACATTTGTTGAGTGCGTATTCCTTATCATGGACTCAACAATTAATTATTTCATTTTAGGCGAAGGACATGCCTGTGATGGATGTGTTACATATGCCAGTTGATCTCTTATAAAAATGAAGCTCAGAATATATAATTAAGAATGGTTAGAGGGGCGCCTGGGTGGCTCAGTCAGAAGTCACCCGCCTTCGGCTCAGGTTCTGATACCAGGGTCCTGAGATGGAGCCCTGCTCAGGGGGAGTCTGCTTCTCCCTCACCCTCTGCGGCTACCCGTCCTGTCCTCAGCTCGTGCTCTCTCTCTCAAATAAATAAATAAATAAAATCTTTAAAAAAAAAAGATTTAAAAAGAACGGCTAGAACTTGGATTCTGTCTCACGCCAAAGTTGTTTTTCTACTGCTTACATCACCTTCCCAAAGGCTCATAGCTGCAATCCACCATTGACTGAGGAGCGATAATCCTTTCCCTCCTACTCCTTTTCACAGAGAAGAACTGGATACCGTCAGGCTTTTGTGGAGATGATGGGAAGAAAATGCATTTGCAAATAACTAAGCATGAAGTAAGAATAACAAGGCGGTAAACTGTTTGAAAACTCTCAATTTTATCTCTAACCTAGTTTCAGATTTTGTTATGAATGAACTCTAGGCCCCTGAAGTGAAAAATTGATCCTTAATATTATTATTCTCTCATTGCTAATAAATCGTCCATAATTTTTAAAAATGCATTTGCACTATTTAAAGTTTGGAGGATTTCGGTTTACACAAACCTGTTTGGACCACTTGTCAAGGTCTGTGTCTCCCAAGTTCTGCTGAGAAATAATGCAATTACAGGCCTCTCATATTCTGTAAACAGTCTGAGTTCCAAGAGTTCACCAGTTAGTTGTTTGGAATCACTGCGTATTTTCCCATTATCTAATGTAGTAATGGGTGGTTATTTCCCAAGCTGGCATTTCCTTTTCCTCTCCTCCCACCTGCACCCCCAGCCCCCAAAACAATAACAAAAGAAGGGAAAGCATACTTCAACCAAGGTGAACAACAACACTAAATTTTATTGGCCCGAGTTCTAGAGAATGTTGGGAAAGGGATTTTATAATTTAATAAGGAACAACAATTCTGTAGTAAAGTTTGAATTCACAAAGAAATGCCACCCCTGTTTGGGAGGTTAATATTGATCAGCACCTCAAAGCTTTTTCTACTTTCTAGAATCTTTTCTTTCTACACTTTTAACTCGCTGTTTCTCCAGTGACAACACTTGAGTGAGGGAAAAATAAAAAGGAACGTGCTCATTTTCACAATCTTTAGCAGGTTCATGATGCATAGACTCTCTAGCGTCTATCTCTCTTAAAATTGATAATGAGTCTAAGAATGGTACCACCTTAATGTTCCTTCTATTTTCCAAGCAACAAAATTCCCTAGAAGTGCTATTTTTCTTATCTCATTTTCTGCCTACACCTAATTCCATCAGTGAAAGTACTTTTATAGAATATGCAACATTTCTGAAGTGATTTTAAAAACTTAATCTTCATCACTACCTTTGAGTGTATGACATCTTTAGTCACTCTATCATAAGGATAAAAAAAAGTGAGAATTTGAGATATTAGAGTTGATGGAGGCTTCACAAGCTAAAATGGCTGTAACCTAAGCCTTCCACACCCCAAATTGAGGGCTATTTCTCACATTTTTAATCTCTTCATCGTTTTCACTCACCCTTCTAGATTCAAACTCCATGAGAAAAGGGATCATTTTTTACTGTTTTATCCTTATCCCCAAGGATAAGGCACTTAGTAGGTACCCCCAAAATCCTGAATAAAAAAATTTCAGTTATTGTTATCTTAATTACCTTAGCAATAATGTGATATACTTTTACTGGTTAAAAATGACTTTTCAAATTGCCTACACATTATAAGATGCATCATGCAGTGTGGTTAAGAGCAAAGGATAATTTTCCATAATGGATGTTAGAGTATACCCTGAGTTGTTGGGGCCTCCAATCTGCTGTCTTAACTGCTGATATTAGCAACCAGCCCTGACAAAAATAGGAGAAAATGTCACAAAAGAGGTAATGGCTTCGTATTATTCTTCCCTGTGTTTCCTACTTTTCCAAAAACATAAAAATGGTTCTCAAACTTGAGAGGAAATTATTCAGCTGCACAATAACAAAAACATAAAAACAGCCCAAAATGTCAGAACATAACACCTGAAATCTTGTCTCAGTAAGAAAAGGCTATGAAGAATTATCTTCTGGAATGAGTGACTTGACTCAAAAATGTAGCTAGTTCCTATATTGACCATTGATCCCTTATACTGTCTTCACTGTATTCATCTAAAAAATGAAATCATAGTGAACACAGCCTATAATTATCCCTACTTGGGGGTAGAATAGGAAGACCTTATGTCTACTTTTTCAGGAACTGACTATAGAGGCGAAAACCAAGGTTGACTGTCATCACAAAGGCCATTTATAAGTGAAGGGTGTCCTTCCAGAGCTTGGGAGGGAAAAGGAAAGGAAAGGGAAAAGAGAAAGGAAAAAGAAAAGAACGCAATAATAAAAGAGGGTGGGAAAAACCCCTCTCCAACAGCTATGCTTTATTTCCCTCATACGAAATGGTCTTAGCCCTATCCATAGCCTTGTGCTTTAAGTGCTAACTAATGTTCATCAAGCAGCTTATATAAGGCTATGTGATTCACATGCATGACACCATTTGAGTCAACCCTCGATAAAATTCTATAAGACAACTGCTTGTATCTTGGAACAATCCAGAGCTAGTACTTGTCTATGTGCACATAAATAGAAATTAACTTAGCTAGGACTTGAAGGGAGTTCTTTTGAATCTAGAAATGCTGTCCTTCATCCCTATATTGTACTGCATTCCTGACCACCATGCTGTGTGTGTTGGACCATGGCGGGCGGCGATTAAAATTTGTATTCCTTCCTTTTGCCTTGGTTGCCTCCTTTCTCACCTGAATCCTATGAAACAAGTTTTTTTTTTTTTTTTGAGTCAATGTATATCAAGAATGCAAACAAACAAGCCATGAGCACAGTGTGCAGAGTAGGAGACAAAACGGAGGCACCTTGGGAGGGGGGTGCAGAGAATTTTGAAATATCAAGTAGCTACGGTGTGAGTCTTGTTTCCACTAAAACTATTTTTAAAAGAGAAGTGATTCCATGTATTGCAACCCCATCCTCTGTCCCACCCCTTACCTCATTGGTATGACTGCTCCGCCATGGAGGGGTACAGAATTCAGATCTTGATTGCCACCCCCCCAAAAAAAGATAGCCAGAGAAGGAATCTGAGCGCCCTCCAGCCACCCCTCCAGCTCCCAAATCATCTTACAGCCTTAGTAAAAGAGAGGAAAGAGATTTACCTGCTGCTACTGAGGCTGAAGCCTGAAAGTCATGTATAACCTTTGAAGGACTGTAATGGTTTTAATCACAGGAATAGCATCTTTTTGACAGGCGGGACAGAGAAAAGAGCTGAACCACTCTGCAAATATTAACCAGGCTATTTTGGAGCAATGGCTATTGCCTCTGAAATCTTTCATCATGGGTCTATACTTAGAATTCAGATGAGCCTGGGGGAGGGGAATGGAGCAGTGTAAATCCCCAGTTGTTTTGACGTTGTCCGGTAAACAGGTTAGCATCTAAACTGTCATAAATGGAAGCATTCGGTGCTTTATTTATATTGTAGGATTCTCTCGGAGTTATTTGTTTTAACCTGTTCTGCATACAGATTGTCCCATTGTCCTGGAGGTGATACTTCTCAGTTTTCTTTCAAACTAGCTATTCTGGAGAGCACTGTCTGTGATCACATTGGGAGACTGATGCTCCATGACAGCTAAAAGTTGGATTGAGTTTCAGGAGCTACTATATATAAAGCTGGGGCGACTTATGTCACCGCACTAATTAAATGCCATCTGGGTGGTTCCTCTGGGTTTTTGAGCCCATCACCCAGTTCAGACCAAGTCAGAGGCCTAGGAGGAGAACATGATGATGGACCTTTTTGAAACTGGCTCCTATTTCTTCTACTTGGACGGGGAAAATGTTACTCTGCAGCCATTAGAAGTGGCAGAGGGCTCTCCTTTGTACCCAGGGAGTGATGGTACCTTGTCCCCCTGCCAGGACCAAATGCCCCCGGAAGCTGGCAGCGACAGCAGCGGAGAGGAGCACGTCCTGGCGCCCCCAGGCCTGCAGCCCCCCCACTGCCCAGGACAATGTCTGATCTGGGCTTGCAAGACCTGCAAGAGAAAATCTGCCCCCACTGACCGGCGGAAAGCTGCCACTCTGCGCGAGCGGAGGCGCCTAAAGAAAATCAACGAGGCCTTCGAGGCACTGAAGCGGCGGACTGTGGCCAACCCCAACCAGAGGCTGCCCAAGGTGGAGATTCTGCGGAGCGCCATCAGCTACATTGAGCGGCTGCAGGACCTGCTCCATCAGCTGGATCAGCAGGAAAAAATGCAGGAGCTAGGGGTGGACCCCTTTAGCTACAGACCCAAGCAAGAGAATGTAAGCCCAGATGCTGCAGGGGCAGGGGAATGCTCCGGCTGATTAGACGCTTTCCTTGGGGCCTTAACCTCCAGCTGCTCCGTCTCCCTTCCCCTTCCCCTTCCTCGCCCGCCCCTCCCGCCCCTTCTCCAGTGAACCCCCGGTGACCCGTGAACTTGGGGTGCCTGCAGTAGGCAGGAAATTCGTCCCCGGCCTGAGGAAGTAGGGGAGACACCTCCACAGAGCCTCCCCACTCCCTGCCCGGAACCGATGTTTCTTTCCTAATCTTCTGCGGCCTCGGTTTTTCTCCAGCTTGAGGGTGCGGATTTCCTGAGCACCTGCAGCTCCCAGTGGCCAAGCGTTTCGGATCATTCCAGGGGGCTCGTGATAACTGCCAAGGAAGGTAAAGTAAAAGAAAGGGCACCGGGCTGTGCTGGAGAATATCCCGGGAAAGGGCCTGGGGTGAAAGGGTAGAAAGGGCTCGGAGCGGCGGCGGGGGCGAGCGCGCGGGGACCGGGGTCCTCCCGCGCTGCCTCAGCGGCCTGGCGCGGGGCCCGCCCTGCCTTGTTCTTCCTTCGTCGGGGGTGCTATACTTGTGTGTTTTTCTTTTTCTGCGCTCAGGAGGGGCGAGCATCGATTCGTCAGCCTCGAGTAGCCTTCGATGCCTTTCTTCCATCGTGGACAGTATTTCCTCCGAGGAACGCAAACTGCCCTGCGGGGAAGAGGTGGTGGAGAAGTAACTCGCAGCCCGAGCTTGGGATGTTCTCCGCGCCGCTGGAGGACCCCTCCCTCCCTCCTTCTCCTAATCCTGTAGCTTGGGTCACATTACATTAATATTTAGGAACCCAGGCCCAGGAGTTTATGAGAGGGAAGGAGACCGGTTCACAAGGAAACGTCTCAGAAACTGTTGTGCACGCTCAGATGAAAAAGCCTTTCGGCTTTGGGCTTTTGCTGTTGGAACCGCGAGTGGCTTAGCTCTAGCAGCCTGACTTTGTGTTTGTGTGGCTAGCTGTGTAACCTCTTACTTTTATTCCGGTGATCCTTTTGTGCCATGTTCAAGAGAAGTTCATTCCTGTCCGAAGCGAAGTGGGAACGTTGCATCGAAATGTTAGTGGTATTGAATGTATTTTTGTAAATATCCTTAGTACTTTCATTTTTTATGTAAACCCAAGAAATATATTTTAAATGTGGAGTGATGGATTGCATATAAAATGTGCGAGGATCCTGATATTGTAATATTAAAAAAATAAGTTTCTTTATGAACAAAGTTGGTCCCAATTTGATTCAACTGAAAAAAATATGTTTGGGAGCAGGTGCACATAAATAAAGAGAAGTCATATTTTAACTTAGACGCCACACAAGCCCATTTGTTTGGGTGTGTTCTTAAAGGCTGACTGAAAGGGAAGAAATTGGGTTGTTTTCCTGTGTCTGAATTAAACTGTTCACTTTTCTATCTCATACAGACCTCACACTTGTGGTTAAAAGTGAAGAATATCCAGGAGGAATCTTCCCTCTTCCCCTTTATCACCATCTTTTTTATGTTTCAACTGTCCTATACCTGGAGCTCTGGGTGAGATTTACTTACCCAGAGTTAAGAACTGAATTTTCAACCCAGTAAAATCTCATTGTTGCAAGAGATAGCCACACAAAAACTTGGATTTGCCTAAAAAGCTCTTCAGCTAATTTACCCCAATTACTTTGCCTCTGACTTTCCAGGCCCGGGCCCTTCACGAGAAAGCCTTCCTCTGGAGGACCCAGGGGCTGCACTGGCCTCCCAGCCAGGTCGCTGGCCCCTCCCTAGTTTTCTTGAACTAGACTGGTTAGAAGACTGGAATACCATCCAGGCCTCGTGTGGCTGGGGTTTGTTTTGCAAATAGAAAGATAAAAGAAGGGAACAATCTGTTTCTTGAGGTGGGGTAAGGCTTCAAGAGAGGGAAGGGTTAAATGGCTGAGGGCAAAAGACAACAACAACACACATGAAACCTCTTAGCTGGACCAAATAGCAAAGACCCCAGAGAGGCTTGAAGCCCCAGGAGCTCCTCACGGCCAGGATTTTACAACGTGTGCCAGGTTTGTTTATCCTGTAACTTCAGGAAGAAACGACCACCAAGAATCACAGTGTGAAGTGAAGCGGAGGAGAGGGCCAGCCGTTTCTTTGGAATCGCTACTTCTCGCTTGCATTCCGTAAATGGCACCTTCACTCCAACACCCCTCCCCACCCTTGACTTCTTCCTTCCTTTCCCCCACAGCTGGTCCTCAGTTTACAAATGTGAAAATCAAACCGAATTCAGTATTTCCCAGCCCAACCTTGCTTCCTAACACTCCAGTCTGGACGTTCCTTTTGCACACCACAGAAGTCCCGGATACCACCACAGACAGCGCCCCCTGCAGGCACGGAGCAGTATCGTGCCCCTTTTCTATCTCTAAGGGCCTCTTTCTGGGGGTAATAGTTACTCTGTCTTCTGAGGACCTGGATAATGCTCGTTTCTCCTAGAATGCTTATAAAGTTTAGAAAGCTTCATAGAGAAAACTGACACTGACATATAATCTCTCCCAGAGGTTTGAGAAAAGCAGGCGGGAGTGTTAGTGGCTGCAAACTGCTGAGTTGCTGTGGGCACTGCCTACTTAGATTGAATCCGGGTTGCTCCTGTGGAGCCCTGGGCTATCCCAGCTCCTCTCTTCTTCCCGTTTCCTCATTTATAAAATAATGGTGAGGACAATAATGGTGCTTAACTCGGGAGTGTGAAGATTTCAGTGAGATGTAACACAGAAAAGCTTTAGCCAAAGCAGAGCACCGAACAAACTCAATGTGGGCTCTCTTTATTTTTCCTTAGTAAATCTATATTGACCATCAAATGCTTCTCTTCCACCAAAAGCCACAGTTCCTTCAAATACTGTTTGCTGCCTGCCTTGCGGGCGCTATTTGGGAAAAGTATTAATAACAATGAAATCAGTAGCAATATGAATGACTCATTCTTAGCATTTTACATATTCACTCAGAATCCTACAACTACTTGTGTTGAGGGAAATTTGTTACTTCTTTTGAGAAAAGGTTTCTTTGGAACGAAGAGTTTCTTGCATTTGAAAGCATAGAGCCAGGGCTTGGAGCCAGTAAATACCAGTGGCTTCAAGCCTGTTGGCTCACTCACCTGTACCCTGAAAGAGAAGCCTTGGCAAATAAGAAAGAACATTTATGGTCTAGAACAGTTTGGCTCTCTTTAGCAATTATTTTCCAAATGTTCTTTCTCAAGAGTAGCTAGCGAACTCCAAATTTGGGCAGTAATTTAATTAAAGATAAACTGTAGAGCATTTCAAATTATCCAATCAGAACATGTATATGAACATGAATATGTCTGGGTGGTGTGTATATCCATTCATCATGCTTATTATGTATGTGATTTTTTTCTTGAGAATCAGTATTTTCCCCAAAATGTTTGTCTATACATATATATTCTATATGTATACACATTACATATTATATATATAATATATATAGTAAAATATAGGTGTATATATATATGTGTGTGTGTGTGTGTGTGTCGCAGACTCATGCCACAACTGAAATCAAATCTCATAGTTAACCAGGTGAATTCACTTACTTTATGATTGCACATATATTTATAATGAGATCTGTGTTGTAAACTATTTAGCAGCAGAATGCTTTTTATCAATTCATGGGCTTTATTTGCTTGATGGATTTTATTCAGTCTTTGTGACCAAATCTTCTCTCTCTCTCCTAGCTAGGTAACTTGAGAAATTGTTTGGAATAAGTTTGCCTATAGAGGTCTCTTTGTTAAATAGAGCAAATATTTCCCAAAGACTTCATGTGACCTCCACTGCTATAGTTGACATATTAGACTCTCCAGTGAAAGCCTTGGTGTGTTTGCAATTAAAATGTTTTTATTTGATATTAATGATGATAATCTTTACTAAGGCCAAAGCCAAAACAAACAGGGCCATGGAAGCAGAAAATCAAGATATAATAACTTGGTAAAGATAAGCAATTTGGGATTTAAACTGAGCCTCTTTCCAGAGGTGGGCATAAAGTTATCAAATATTTAAAAAATAAGTAATTTTCCTTTTTTATATTACTATACAAATAATTTATGAAATGTCAAATGCCAGCTTTTTCAAACTAACTTTAATCATCACACCTGAATCATCGAATTCTGACCCTGAACATAATGGAAATTCACTTATGTCTAATGGGCATATATATATGTATGGGGGATGGGAGCATGGTGCTGAAATTGTGTTCTCAACTACTGTTGAGACTGCCAGAGAAGTCTTGGGCTGCTAAACTGAACTCTATCCTTACTAAGACATTTTTGACACAAAGTTAGAATATAGCCGTTGGTGCTTTTCTCTTAGTAAGCAATGTTTTATATCATTTATTTATCTTAAAATTCTCCTCCCAGAGCACCTTACCTAGAAAAAAAGTTTTAAAAATATTTAAGTTTAAACTTTGAATATCTCATTTCCTAATCTAATGCATTAGTAAATTAGCAATAACATGGTACTTCCTCAAAGAGCCAAGCCATCAAGACATTTCTCCAACAGACCCCTCCAGTGACTCCCTTACTCTCAAAAGCAGGGTTACAAAAGATGACCTTCATTCCTAGAGGTTTCATTCTGAAACAGAAATTTTTTGCAAGCCGAGTTCAGAGTCAGCTTGGCTTCTCAGTTCAGAATGGCTATGCCATGTGCTGAAACAAAGATAATGCTGCGAGAATTGGCTCCTTTCTTTACTCTCAAGGCTGCTCAAAGTCCCTCCATAGGCCTTTGATCTCCCCTGGGAGCCTTCGAACGCATGCAGAGGCCAATGTCTTCCTCAGCTGTCTTCTCCGCAAATTCTTCCAGCAGCTTTGACAGGTACTAATGTGTTTACTTAGGTGTGCCTGGTTCCCAGAGCTAATAGCAGTTTGAAATTGTTTAGCACATTGTGAACTCATATATGATAAGCCAAAATCCCTAGAACAGCTCCCTTTTCCAGGAGTTGATAAGGGTCTCAGAGAGAGGCAGAAGTGATTGAAATGGACTCATCTTTCTATGTATATTTGGTCTCTCCCACTGAGAGAAGCATAGAAAATTTGGAATAATGCAGAATTCCTAGGGTAGGCAAAATTTACTAGAAAAGGAAGCTCTGAACATCATTTTGCTGGTGGGCTCTGTCCATCAACACTAGGATTGTTGCCATAATGCTTAAACTAAAATAGATTCTCAAAAAAAAAAAAAAAAAGGTTGGTGATTACTTAAAGGTCTATGCAGCTAAAACCTGCTGAGTCTAAATTGTAAGAAAATCAGACATGCATTTATTTTTCTTCAGAATGTTAAGTGAAAAAAAATTTTTTTAATTATCTATATACTTCACGAGAACCTTGGGTGGCATTCATTTATAATGCTTGGCTTAATTGTCTTCCCTTCATCTGTTTACTGTAAGGCTTTCCTAGTAGTTAGTGTTGGAATGTTATTTCTAACAACGTGGTTGCATATTAAATATGTGGGAGTTTCCTCTCCACGTGAGAAATCCACTTCTCTAAAGAAAGAGTGGAACACTGATTGTATTTTTATTCTTTTCTATGAGGAACAAAAGTCAGTCGAGTCTGATTTTGAGTAAGAGCACCCAAATAATCAGATCTCTCTCTCCCTCTTTTTTTTTTTATGATTTTCAACTTTTTTCATACTGCTTTGTTCATTTCCCCACCCCCAAAAAATTATTTTTGTCTGTATCGCTCACCCAGTTTCTCCTCTTCTCTTA